ACGATCGTTGAACCTTGAAATAAACCTATGCTTTTATTATAAATATATAAAACGCCATTTTCTTGCTAGTTCCTTGCTTTCATTAAAACATGAATCACAGAAATAGTATTAATACATCTTTCTTTGATCGTGAAATTTTCAGTGAAGATTCTGCTGTAACACATCCTAAAATAAACCATTAGTCATCTAATAATAAACTTAAATAAAACAAACAGAGAATTTTCCTTCAATTCAAAGCTTTATTTCACAAAAATGATAAGAGAAAAGTTATTTTACATCAATATATAGAGATCAAGTTAATTCACTTGAACTTTAAAAAGCCTTCGCTTGTGCTTAACATTTGAATGTTCGGTACATTGTTTTTTAGCAGGTGGTTCCACCCTGTTTACTTTCTTGCGTATGTGAAATGTTCTGTGCGATGTTTTCACTGATTTTCTGTAGATCGTTCCATTCTTCCATGTTTAGGGCTACTCCTTTAGCAGTTGACTTGCCATCATCATCAAATTTGCGAATGTGGACATACAGCTCACCGCGAAACTCAGAAACCATGGTATAGAAGCCACGAAAACCAACGTGGAACGACTCCGACTCTAGTCTCCTTCGCAGCCTCCCCTTTTGTCGGGCTTCCTGTCCCTCCCAAAAGCCCGACAAAAGGGGAGGCTGCGAAGGAGACTACTCCGACTCCAGCTCTTCCTTTTCCTTTGTGTCACACTTTTTGCTTTGCTCTAAGGCTTCTTGCATCTGTTCTATCAGGATTTCTTCATCATAATTCGCCATTCTTTCGTAGTAAGAGCTATACCATACTTGGATGGTTTTCCTTCGTAGAATTTTCTGATGTGGACCATCAAATAGCGGTTGAATTCACTCACTAGCGCAGAGTAACCTCGGTTTCCAACGGTGAAGCGTTAAAATTCCATCTTGATATAATTCAGCAAAAAGTTATATGAAACTTACAAGTCAGTCAGAGCGTAGAGTGACTAACAGGACAGATTCATGCAATAAATAACCGCTCAGGCGAAACAATAGAGAACAAAAGGACTATTGTTCTGAGATTAAGTGTACAAAAGACTTAAATTCGAATAAATTGCCAATGCGGGGCACCTCATTAGTATTCTACCGACGTCTCATTAGTATTCTACCATCCATTTCCATTCAATTTCCAACCAAAACGGGGTCCCAACTATGCAGCTAATACTACTTATTATAACATGGATAGGATCACCAATTTTTGGGGATCTGGGATCAAAGGCAAAAATACTTGGTATCAGATCTAGAGACGAACATTTTGGACAGAAAAGGGTATCACGATGAGCAAAAAAAAAAAAAAAAAAACAAAAACACACAGAGGTGG